CCTTGCCAACCTCACTCCCTACCCCCTTCCAACTCTCATGTGTGTATGTATGCTTACATGTGAGTGTAAATGTGTGGTTGTGGGTGTCTGTACATGTGATTGTATGTGTGTGTATGCATGCATGTGTAGGTGTGTATATATGGAATGTGTGTGTGCATATTTGTCCATATATGTATGTGTGTGTCTTTTCTGTTTGTGTATATATGCAGATGCGTTTATGTATGTATGTATGTATGTATGTATGTATGTATGTATGTATGTATGTATGTATGTATGTATGTATGTATGGATGGATGGATGGATGGATGGATGGATGGATGTATGTATGCATGTATGTATGTATGTGCTAGGTATGTCGGTATATGAATGTGCATGTATGAGAATGGGAAAGTGTGTAAGACTGTGTACACATGATGAATGTATTATATTCTATAATGTATATTTTTATTCTATATCGATAACATGCATTTTAGATAACAGGCAGTGGTACTCTGAAAAACGAGTGCTTAAAAGGGCCGAATGTCAGACGGGCCTGCGTGCCCAGTTTGTAGCCCTTTGAAAATAAAGTTTGTTCGTTCGTTCGTTCGTTCGTTCCCTATCCCCTTCCAACTCTCACTCGCTACCCCCTTCCAACCCTCACTTCCTACCCCCTTCCAACCCTCACTCCCTACCCCCTTCCAACCCTCACTCCCTACCCCCTTCCAACTCTCACTCGCTACCCCCTTCCAACTCTCACTCCCTACCCCCTTCCAACCCTCACTCCCTACCCCCTTCCAACTCTCACTCGCTACCCCCCCTCCAACCCTCACTCCCTACCCCCTTCCAACTCTCACTCCCTACCCCCTTCCAACCCTCACTCCCTACCCCCTTCCAACCCTCACTCCCTACCCCCTTCCAACTCTCACTCCCTACCCCCTTCCAACCCTCACTCCCTACCCCCTTCAAACTCTCACTCCCTACCCCTTCCAACTCTCACTCCCTACCCCCTTCCAACTCTCACTCCCTACCCCCTTCCAACCCTCACTCCCTACCCCCTTCCAACTCTCACTCCCTACCCCCTTCCAACTCTCACTCCCTACCCCCTTCCAACCCTCACTCCCCTACCCCCTTCCAACTCTCACTCCCTACCCCCTTCCACCCTCACTCCCTACCCCCTTCCAACCCTCACTCCCTACCCCCTTCCACCCTCACTCCCTATCCCCTTCCAACTCTCACTCCCTACCCCCTTCCAACTATCACTCCCTACCCTCTTCCAATTCTCACTCCCTACCCCCTTCCAACACGCACTCCCTTCCCACACTCACTTCCTACCCCCTTCCAACTCTCACTCCCTACCCCCTTCCAACTCTCACTCCCTATCCCCTTCAAACTCTCACTCCCTATCCCCTTCCTACCCTCACTCCCTACCCCCTTCCAACACGCACTCCCTTCCCACCCTCACTTCCTACCCCCTTCCAACTCTCACTCCCTACCCCCTTCCAACTCTCACTCCTTATCCCCTTTCCACCCTCACTCGCTAACCCCTTCCCACTCTCACTCCTTATCCCCTTCCCACCCTCACTCCCTAATCCCTTCCCACTCTCACTCCTTATTCCCTTCCCACCCTCACTCCCTAACCCCTTCTAACTCTCACTCCTTATTCCCTTCCCACCCTCACTCCCTAACCCCTTCTCTCACTCCTTATTCCCCTTCCCACTCTCACTCCCTAACCCCTTCCAACTCTCACTCCTTATTCCCCTTCCCACCCTCACTCCCTACCCCCTTCCAACTCTCACTCATTATCCCCTTTCCACCCTCACTCCCCACCCCCAAAAATGCTAATGCTTTTTGTATTCTCCACTTTGCTAGGTAGGCAGCGGGATCTTTCAACCTCATGATTTAAAACTGCATGGCTTGTGCTGTCGCCACGAAGTGTGCGGGTTATGATTTATTTTGCCTTGGACAGAAAAAAAAAATATTGTCAACCTTACTCGGGATTTGAACCGGGGTCTAAGAGGACAAATAAAAAGGACTTTGAGATAATTGTTGTACAATTTGTTTGAGTAGAGGTGAAGCGGAGACATTTTTCCAGGGATCACCCAAGCTACGCAAACTAAGCCTAGTCCATACATTGATCCAGATGGCTTTATGCAGAATGTAAACAATGACATGCGATTGTTCCCTCAACTAACCGAGCAGACTTCCCTCAGCTGGACCAACATGTGATTATTTCCCGCCAGGATGGAGATATTCTGGGCACTTCCCAACGCGAGCATGCAGGATTCCATTGACGCCCCTGATGTGTGACATAGACGTTGCCCTTGGGTGGGAGCCTGACCTACTGCAGGTGCGCCTAAAATAGTATTGTCTAGCGGATTCGCTTCTACAGGGTGTCTCTAAGATTCCCCACACATGCCCCTCCAAGTTTTTTTTTTTTCTGAAACTATATACATATATATGTGTATGATATGCTTTACGTGACTGTCACTATTTTGATGACACATTTCAATGAGTGTCATTAACTGCTAAGAACACGTATGAGCACATTTGGAGTCATGCTTGCAATGCCGTCAAGGATACGTATATAGGTCCCCGGCGTATAAACTTACGAGATGCCCTATAGATATAGGCCAACACCGAATATATGATCAACCTGACGGCGGGTCAACACTGTTGATGTCCTGTGAGGGACCGCTAATTATAAAATATAACATTAACTAACCACTGGCATACGACCAACTTCGGGTTGGGCGGTTTGCTTATTTGGTCGCATGATGAATCTGATTGGAGACGGAACAATAATTCTTGAGTCTCATGTGTCAGCTCTAATGTGTAAGAGTTCCTTGAAAGGTCGTGCATCTATCGAGTGATGTAAACAGGGATGACTCACTCAAGCTAATCCAACCAAAATTAATCCAGTGAGCTAAGAAGCTCAATGAACGGGAAATGCACAGAAAATAAAATACGACGCCCTGTCCTGGGCCTTTTTGTGCGTCGAGGAAGGTTCTGGTCGAAACACCAATTTTACCTAATCTGTAAGTTGTTCCACTCTTTCTTTACACCCCCCCCCCCGCCCCCTTTTTTCCAACCCGCTGTCGTCAGGCTTCCTATTCACAGTTCAGTAGTTTACTTCAGTGACTGTCGCCCTGTGTTTGGTGTTGGTGCGTCAATTCTGATTTGATTCCCAATCACCGTTTTCGCGAAGTATGTGTTGCAGAGCTTTCGGGTTCCCTCTCCGATTCAGAAACTAGCAGTATGTGCCGGATGGATAGCGGAAGTTCACACCAGTAATGGCGCAACTGATGAGGTAACCACGTAACGATACAGTACATGCTCATTGGCTGGCTGTTAGGCTTGCGTTGGTAATGTTTCCCCTGATGGTTATATTTAGGGCGTTCGTAAAGTCTCACTACACTGACATAATAATTATTGCGACCCCATGTGGTATGAATGTTTCGTTATTCTGAAGCCCACTCTGGTTGTTGTCGGTGGCCCTTTTACAACCTAACAGTTGAACAGGGTTTCTCTGACCCCTCCACGGGTGATTATCATCCGAGTGTTGGCACTTTGTGTTGCTGGGAGTTTATCGTCAGTGTGATGTCCTGGTCGGGTAAAAAGTCAGTCAGTTAGTCTCACTACACTGTGTATACTAAACAAATTTGAAAGCCCCAAGTACATGGCGTCATCAAAAAATGTGCTACTAAACAACTCATTAAATTAGTTGCAATAGCTACAATATTTACTGCAAAGGTCTAATGCTGTTTTGAGAAAGCTAGAAGGTGCCAGTAAAATATGCATTTCAACAGGTCTTATAAATATCCACCAGTGACTTCAAGACATAACTGGACACGTTTCTTTATATTGTCAAATACCTTCTGCAACGTGTCTGTTGTTATTTCTTAAATGGTAATTATTATTGCATTTGTTGATAACACCTTTCTATTTTGGGTACAGGAAGTCACTCAGACGACAGCCATTCACTGTATATTGCTTCGCGTTTGACTGTATGGAGCACACATCTTGCTGACATCATATAGTTAGCTTTTCACATTTGTTTCACATAAAAAGTGCAGCGAGACTTTATAAACACCCTGTATTTCCCACCAATTGACCCAACTCATTCTGTCACAAATAGTGTTTGTATTTATCTATCCTATTCTAGTCGTCTGTAAACAACTCCTGTACTGAACAATCGCCACCCATAATCATTCTTTCATCGATAGTTATATATTTTTTTAATGTTCATATATATTTATTTATAGACACGTTTGAACTCTCCGTAAAAGAAGGAATTGAGAAATGTGACTATGATAATGGCAATGCATGAAAACGTTAATATTCGTCGTCTTCGTCGTTGTAGGAGTGGTAGTAGGAGGAGGAGGAGTAGTAGTAGAAGCTGGAACAGCAGCAGTTGTGTTGGTATTTGTAGTAGTATTAGTAGTAGTAGCCACAGCAGCAGCAAGAGTAGCAGCAGGAATAGCAGCAACACAAGCAAAAGCAGCAGTAGTAGTCTTAGTGGTTGTAGCAGCAGCATTTGCAGTAGTAGTGGTAATAGTAGCAGCAGTGTGGCGGTAATAATAGTAGCAGCAGTAGCAGCAAGAGCAACAACAGAAGCAGTAGTGGTAGTTGTAGTAATAATAGTTGTAGTGGCAGTAGCAGCCGTAGCAGCAGTTGTAGTAGTTGTAGTAGCAGTGGTTGTAGTAGCAGTAATGGTGATGATAGTAAAAGTGATGGTGGTGGTGGTAGTAGTAGAAAGAATAGTAGCAGCAGCACCATGATTATATATGGTAGTCTGTACAACATGGGAACGGTATACATCTGTACCACATGGGAACGGTACACTTCGGTACAACACGGGAACTGTACACATCCGTACAACATGGGAACGGTACACATATGTACAACATGGGAACTGTACACATCTGTACAACATAGGAACGGTACACATCTGTACAACATGGGAACGGTACACATCTGTACAACATCGAAACGGTACACATCGGCAAAAGGGAACTACTTACCCTAACTCTGGCCTCAGTCAAGTTTGTCCAGGCGGAGATCTCCTCTCGGGTCGCCATGTCTGGGTACCTATTCCTGGCGAACGTGGCCTCAAGCTCCTGTAGTTGCTGGCTGGTGAAGTGTGTCCTCTGACGTCGCTGGCGTTTTTTCTTTTTATCATCGTCGCCGCCGTCGTCTGATTTGTTCTTGGACGCATCGTTGGAAT